CCGGCGACGACCGCCCAGCCATGAGCCCGCGAAGCCCTCCCAGATCCCATGGCAACGACTCCCGCTTTCCACAGTTCGGTAGCGATGCATCTGCCGTGGATGATGACCACTACTCGGGCATGCGAGATGAGAAGGCCCTGAAAAAGACGAGCGTGCAGAGCGGCAGGGCGCAGCCGACGGAGGGTCATCAACGACAAAGTTCGTATGGACACCTCGACACAGCATCATCAACCAAGTTTTAGCATGGTATCTACAAAGTATCGACAAGAGAAAGACCAAAAGACCAAAAAAAAACAAAAAGAAAAAGACAGAGGTTGGAGACCTTGATACCTCCGGCCTGGGCTGGACCGAACGCCGAGAGATACCCCTCATTTACGACAGGTCTGAAAGAGATAGTACGAAGAGCATGATATTCGGGCGTTGAAGCATGATTATCAGGTATACTTCAATTTTTTGATGGAACGGGAAAGGAATGGAGAGGGAATACTTCAAACAGATACCAACGGCTCAGTCGCCGCACCGTTTGTTTTCGATTCTACAACGGATCTCATTTTTGCGCTCTGATTGACACCAGTCATCAAACTTTTTCATTCTCTAGAATGAACTTTTGAGTATGCAGCAGCGTCACCGACTGCCAGAGTGTCTACTCGGTATATACTTCTAGGTAGTTCAGGATTGAATATACTGCTAGCTGCAACCAAAATACCCTATTCCGTGTTCCTTGATAGCGTAGCCGCTGCGGAGAAGTGAATGACTGATACCGGCCAGTGGCACAACCACAGCTCCGAGCGGTATTGCCGCATCTAAGGATCCGATTGTCATGATCATCGCCGGGAGTAAGCGGCGATGATAGTGACTGGCAAGTGCGGCGGCGGCGACGGCGGCGACGACAAAGACGTTGTCATCTGATCTTCTTCAATCCTAAGAGGCACCTGAACCTTCTCTGATAAAACTTCAACCGCTACCAATATCATCTGCTTCGGTGACATGTTCCGCGGTTTCTTGAGGCAGCTCCGTTGTCCTCTGACCAATATCACCATGACTTGCGGAGATGAACAGGCGTCGTGGGAAATTTGATATCTGATCAAGGAGACAAAACAGACTTTCGGGACAATTGGACCGAGTAACGGGAGCCCCCACGACAAGGCGGGATGTCACGAAAGAGCCTCATGAATGGGGGTCCCGATACGAATCTCATGGTATGGTGTCGCGTGTGTGTCACGAGGGTAAGGCACGGCGAGATTAAAATCCCATGTTTTGTTTGCCTGCCGGTGCGGGCAATGTTGGTGAAAGGTGGGGTGCGGATTGCCATGGCGGATGGCAAAGGTGGAGACTCGGGGAGTCTGGAATAACCTCTTTTGGGCATCTCCGCCCCGCCCTCCGACCGACTTTCTGGGGCGTCATCGTCCAGGGACTCCCGGCCCCACACCCGCCACTCTCTTTTGATGGGAACCGATGCCGGATGATCGGCTTGTTTGTTCATGGTTTGAGCGATCTGAGTGGTTCAGGGCCTCGGTTCAGGGTTTTTTTGGACTCCAAGATTTGCCTTTGCTGAAGTGCCTAGCATCTTCGTTTCGGTGCCTGTACGGATAGGTACCTCATGCCCTTGAGGCTCAAAGGGAGCATTCCGGGGTATCGATCGGTGTGACTGTTGCAGGCCGTCCACCTTGGCGGACGATGGGCGGGCGGTCGATATAGCAGTTGAACATGGTCATTTCCAGGGCTGCCCTGGGGGAAAACATAGATCCCAATCGCCCGGTGTTCTGCCCACTTCCATGGTATAGATACGGGGGCATTTAGGCACGGGAGAGGTGCTGAACACAGCTACAAGCAGCTGAATCGGGTGGACACAGGGCACGTCGGAGCTCCCGTCCCGTTGGGAGGTTCCTTTTTCACACCGTCCCGCCCCTTGGGCAGTGGCCGCTGCTGCTCCGACCGCAAGTTGTCCAAGGGAAACCGGCGCCCGCCCCAAGAGTCATTCCATTGCTCCTCCCCCACGTCTGAGATCATTAAGTACCTTTTTTCCCAGTTGAATTTCTTCCCCTTCGCCCCTACTTAAAACTTACTACCACCTTCAACCTTTCTCACATCTCAAGTTTTTTCTTGTGATACCAAAAAACCCCAGCGAGTCAAAAGTTGTTCTTTTACCCATATACCCCCTACCAATTGACTTTGTTGTTTCCTTCTACTCTCTATACCACTGCACAACATGGAAGGCATTCGCCAAACGTTTGCGCGCTGCAAGGCCCAAGGAAGGGTGAGTCTTTTGCCCCTCCCATGTTGCTGTGCTGCCCCTGTTGCGATCGCGGGGCTCTTCACCCCGCCGCGCCGCCGACCGCTCCCAACGACGATGGTTTTCCGGCACCGCCAAGATCTCGCAGCAACGACGGGATAGATGATCAATTGGACTGACCTGACATTGTTATGAAATAGTCTGCGCTCGTTACCTACGTCACTGCTGGTTACCCCACGCCTGAGGACACTCCTAATGTTCTGCTGGCTATGGAGAAGGGTGGCGCTGGTAAGTCCCTCCAAGAACTTTGTGCACTGGTAAAGGAACACCTCACTGACACTCTCAACAGATGTGATCGAACTCGGTGCCCCTTTCACCGACCCAATTGCCGACGGCCCGACTATCCAGACATCAAACACTGTGAGTAGTGACCAGGATGGGAACCAATTGGGTGTATGGTGAATACTGACGAGGGAAAACAGGTGGCTCTGCAACATGGCGTCACGATCGAGTCAACACTCAAGATGGTCAAGGACGCTCGCGACCAGGGCCTGAAGGCGCCTGTGATGTTGATGGGATACTACAACCCCCTTCTCAGCTATGGCGAAGAGAGACTCCTGAACGACTGCAAGACATCGGGCGTCAACGGCTTCATTATTGTCGATTTGCCTCCTGAGGAGGCCATCTCTTTCCGCAAGCTTTGCACCAAGGGAGGGTACGTTCACACACCGCCTCTAACCACCTCGGTCATCCCGTGCTGACGAACTGAAAACAAACAGACTTTCATACGTTCCCCTGATTGCTCCCGCAACCTCAGATGCCCGCATGAAGATCCTTTGCAAGCTGGCCGACTCCTTTATCTACGTCGTCTCCCGCCAGGGTGTCACCGGTGCCCTTGGCTCCATGAACGCCAACCTCCCCGACCTTGTTGCCCGCGTCAAGAAGTACAGCGGCAACAAGCCTGCTGCCGTCGGTTTCGGTGTAAGCACCCGCGACCACTTCCTCAGTGTCGCTCAGCTGGCCGACGGTGTTGTCGTCGGCTCCCAGATCATCACCACCCTCCAAAAGGCTGCCCCCGGCGAGCTCTACAACGATGTTGCAAAGTATTGCTCTTACCTCTGCGGCCGCGACTCTGATGAGACTACCCGCGAGGTTGGCATGGTCGAGGCCATGGCCGCCGCCAAGCAGCCCACCGAAGAGCCTACCGTCGACGACCGCATCACCGCCGACCAGGACAGTGAGCTTGTTGCCGAGCTCGCTGCCATGCACGGCAAGATCCCTGACCGCTTCGGCGATTTCGGCGGCCAGTACGTCCCTGAGTCTCTCATGGACTGCCTGTCTGAGCTCGAGGAGGGCTTCAACAAGATCAAGGACGACCCTTCCTTCTGGGAGGAGTACCGCTCCTACTATGAGTACATGGGCCGCCCCGGCCACCTCCACCTTGCCGAGCGCCTTACCGAGCACGCCGGCGGTGCCAACATCTGGCTGAAGCGTGAGGATCTTAACCACACCGGGTCTCACAAGATCAACAACGCCCTTGGCCAGCTGCTCCTCGCCAAGCGCCTCGGCAAGACCAAGATCATCGCCGAGACCGGTGCCGGCCAGCACGGTGTTGCGACGGCCACCGTCTGCGCCAAGTTCGGCATGGAATGCACAGTCTACATGGGTGCCGAAGACGTCCGCCGCCAGGCTCTTAATGTCTTCCGCATGAAGCTCCTCGGCGCCAAGGTTGTCGCTGTCGAGGCTGGAAGCAAGACCCTCCGTGACGCCGTCAACGAGGCCATGCGCGCCTGGGTTGTCGAGCTCGACACCACCCACTACATCATCGGTTCCGCCATTGGCCCGCATCCCTTCCCCACCATCGTCCGTACCTTCCAGTCTGTCATTGGTAACGAGACCAAGGCGCAGATGCTCGAGAAGAGAGGCAAGCTGCCCGATGCCGTCGTCGCCTGCGTTGGTGGTGGTAGTAACGCCGTCGGCATGTTCTACCCCTTTGCCAACGACCCCAGCGTCAAACTCCTCGGTGTTGAGGCCGGTGGCGACGGTATCGACACTGCCCGTCACAGTGCCACCCTTTCCGGCGGCAGCAAGGGTGTCCTGCACGGCGTCAAGACCTACATTCTCCAGGACAAGCACGGCCAGGTCGCCGAGACGCACTCCATCTCGGCCGGTCTGGATTACCCCGGTGTCGGCCCCGAGCTTAGCTCCTGGAAGGACAGCGAGCGCGCCAAGTACGTCGCCGCCACCGACGCTGAGGCCTTCATCGGTTTCCGTCTCATGAGTCAGCTGGAGGGTATCATCCCCGCGCTGGAGTCGGCGCACGGCATCTACGGTGCCATTGAGCTCGCCAAGACGATGAAGAAGGGCGAGGATATCGTCATCTGCCTGAGTGGCCGTGGTGACAAGGACGTGCAGAGCGTCGCCGACGAGCTGCCCAAGTTGGGCCCCAAGATTGGCTGGGACCTGCGCTTCTAGACATGGGGAGCAACGATTAAGGGGCGGAACGGAATTTACGAATGGCATATCACACATTGCAGGGCGTATGAGGCGAAACTTGCACTTTTCACGGCTTGTGGTTTCAAAATATGGAAAGCGGTTTTTGTAGACACAAACAAGAAAAGGGGGCTCATCTTCTAGACTTGAGATCCTCTAAAAAGTAGTTTGATGACATGAGAATTTTTGTACATATGATACAATGACTTTTTTTTCTCTCCCGAAGCATACACTCTCTCTTCCTTTAACAAGTGACCATGACCCAACTGAAGAATCATATCCTCTGCTCAGTGACAGGCTCTCCGATACCAGGCACATGAACGTCCTCGTACCCCTCGCCATCCTCAGCCCCAAACTCGGCCTCCTCGCCCAGCGTAAACTCCTCCAAAATCATCTGCGCAGCTCTCTTCTCGAGAATCCCCCTGCTGACAGCGCTCAGGGGCCCCGGCGTAGCAGCATCGACCATGACGGTGACCAAATCCGTCTGATCCTCCCTCATCTCCCCCTCGACGCCGAGCGTCTCCCTCTCAGCGACGTACCTCTCCCGGAAGGTAGCCGTCTGCATAACAAGCCACCTCAGCTTCCATCCCCCCGGTCCCAGCTCCTTGACGCGCGCGGCCTTTGTCTTTGTCACGTAGGCGTCGATGCCGCCCTCCTTGCGGATTGTGCGCAGGACGCGGGTGGTGAGGCGGGTGCGGACCCAGGCGCCCAGGGACTCGGACCAGAGGCGCTTGCGGTGGACGTTGGGGCGCCAGGTGCGGGGGGTGACTTGGTGGTGTTTCGGGGAGACGTTGTGGCCGTGGCGGATGCGGGAGGTGCCGTAGAGGCCGTGGTTTGATTGTTTGTAGAGGAGGCGGGGGCCGTGGGGGTAGGGGGGTACGGCGGAGGTTGGGATCTTTTGGAGGGAGATTGTTTTTGTGGCGAGGGGGGTGGAGGTTGAGAAGGCGCGGGTTGCGGTGGTGGGAGTGGTGGTGAGGGTGAGGTTTTGGAGGGAGGTGAGGAGGGAGGGCCGGGGCCGAAGGGTTGTGAAGCTCATCTTGGGGGTTCGATCCGTGTCCGATTATGTGCGATGTTCGTGGGGTCTGGAGTATGTAGAGGCGGTCGGGGGGATGCGAACGGGGAGATGCGCGCCGCGGCGTTCGTTCGTCGTTGGTCGTCGGCGCACCGTTGATGTCGATTGTCGTGAGAGCTTGGGGATGATTTTTTGGGCCAATGGTCAGAGATCGGAGCTTCGATATCGGGCGGTGGATGTTCCGCTCCCCGGGAATTGGTAGTTTTAATTGGGTGGTCTGGGGAAGAGTGGGGGCATGGAAGGTGAAGTCAATTGAGCTGCATCAGGTGACTGCGCGCTGCTTTCGTGACAGGGGTCCGTGGTCTGCTCCCAAAGCCTGGCCGATTGACCCCTCCACACCGAGTCACCGAGACAGGAGGGAAAGTTGGGAAGCTCGACGATTGACTTGCGCCGTGACATGCCACTAGGCAGACACTCGCCATACAGACCGCACATTCTACTCAGCCACGATCATTGACGCAGACCTCGCAAGAGACCCCGGCAGGAACGTCAAACCTATAGACGACACAGAAGGCAACGTTCACCATGTTACCACCAGTCGAGGCCTCGGTCCTGCAAAACAACCCCGAATTCGCGGCGCTGCATCACACCCTCACAACGGCAATCCTCAACCCAGATGGTTCCACAAGAAAGCCGGCGACCAAGGAGCACGATGCGATACAAAATGTTTGTCTTCTCTCGGCTATGATGCCCAGACTCCCAGCCCTGTACCAAAACTGAACTTGGCCCTGAGCTAACCTTCCAACCTCCAGGAGCTCGCAGACCACAGATTCACAGCCGCAAAAGAACACCTTCTCATAAGCGCAATCTCAACCACCGCACCGCCCGAACCAAAACCCGCACCACCTCGAACATTCTCCCGCACGAACACGTCCTCACAACCACAACCATCCTCCAGCGGCAACGGCACAACACAACAACAACCCCTCCCCGAACCCCTCCTCGACCTCCTCCTCCTCCTCCCACCCCTCCTAACCTCCCCCGAGCCCCTATCCCCCGAATCCGCCACAATCCTCCTCTCCAACCCGCCCTTCACAGACTTCCAATCCCTCCTCCCCCAACTCGGCGACCTCATCTCCTCAACCCTCCACACCTCGGCCGTCTCCCTAGCCCGCATCGCCAACCCGACAACAAACCCCTCCTTCCTCCACCGCGCCGTCCCCGGCCTGCAAACAACCTACCACAAACTCGCCTCCGACGTGTCCCAATCGAAACTCGCACTCGCCCGAGAACGCCTCCGCGCGGCAGATACCCTGACACAATGCCTAGACGAGCACGCCGCGGCGCTGACGCTCCTGGTTAGGAGCCTCGAGGCCAAACACGGCGTCGTGGCGCGGAGTCTCGAGTTTCGCGCCGCCGAGACGGGGCTGGAGGCGCAGAGGGCCGAGGCGGATGCCGTGGCTGCGAGGGAGGGGGTTAGGAGGGAGGTGTACTCGCCCGAGATGGTGGCTGCGCTGACGAATTATTCTGCGCATTTGCGGGACGCGAGGATGAGGCTTGAGGGGACTTTGATGACGCTCCGGGCCGAGTTGGAGGGGTACGGGGTCGGGGTTGAGGGGGAGGAGGGGAAGGCGAGGACGATGAAGGAGATGGCGAGGAAGAAGAGGCAGATGGAGAGGGAGTTGGAGGATGCGAGTCGGGATTTGGCCAGGTTGGATAGGGCTTGATAAAGCATCAGGCATCAATGGAGGAAGCTTCAATGGAGGGAGCTGGGAGAAGAATTCGTTCATGGCAAGCAAGCAAGCGATTGGACATGTTTACATTGAAAGACGTGTCGCTATATTGTACACAGCTGGAATGCATGTGTGGTCTACCAAGGGGTGCCAAACGTTCTATGTCCACCGGCCATTCTAACCTTGGCTGCGCAAAAGAGAAGACCTCTCCCTCTTTGGTTGTACAAAACCCCCCTTTTTAGAAAACCAACTACCCTTTCAACAGAACCTCGTGATATCTCTTGGAGAAATGCAAGCTGGCTCAGAGCACCTCTAGACTGAGACTCGCGTTGAAAAATCACAAACACATCGACAATGGCAAAGATTTAACCCTTGACCTTGTAGATGGACTCGGCGAGGCGGCCGACGTTGCCGCTGGTGATACCGGCAACGGAGATACGGCCGTCCTTGGTGGCGTAGACGGAGTGGTCGTTGGCGAGGGCGTCCATCTGCTCCTTGGTCAGGCCAGTGTAGGCGAACATGCCGATCTGGCTGGTGATGTGGGACCAGTCGTGGGCGGAGCCGAGCTTCTCGAGGTTCTCCTTGAGGAGAGCGCGCATAGTGATGATACGGTCAGCCATGCCCTTGACCTCGCCGAGCCACTGCTGGTTCAGGGCGGCGTCGTTAAGAATGGTTGAGGCGATGCGGGCGCCGTGGACGGGAGGGTTGGAGTACAGAGGGCGGACAAGAATCTTGACCTGGGAGTCGATGCGCTTGCGCTCCTCGGCGTCCTTTGCGACGATGGAGAAGGCACCGACACGCTCGCCGTAGAGACCCATGTTCTTGGCGAAGGACTGGGCGAGGCAGATGTTGTGGCCCTCCTTGACGAAGTGGCGGACGGCGAAGGCGTCGGTGTCGGTGTTACCCGAGGCGAAGCCCTGGTAGGCCATGTCAAAGAAGGAGTAGTGGCCCTGGGCCTTGACGACGTCGGAGATCTCGCGCCACTGCTCGGGGGTAGGGTCGACACCGGTGGGGTTGTGGGCGCAGGCGTGGAAGAGGAAGATGGAGCCCTTGGGGGCGGCCTTAATGTCGGCAACCATGCCCTCAAAGTCGAGGCCGATGGTCTTGGGGTCGTAGTAGCGGTACTTGTTGACGGTGAGACCGGAGTCGCTGAAGACGGCGCCGTGGTTGGCCCATGAGGGGGTGGGGATGTAGATGTTCTTAGCGCCGGGGAAGAAGCGGGCGAGGAAGGCGCCTCCAATGCGCAGGGCACCGGTGCCGGAGATGGACTGGGTGATGGCGAGGCGGTCGAGGGCCGAAGAGTCGGCGCCGTAGGCGAGGACGGCGGCGGACTTGGTGAACTCGGGGACACCGGTGATGCCGGCGTACTCCTTGTTCAGCTTGGCGGCGATGACCTTCTCCTCGGCGGCGCGAACGGAGGGGAGGACGTAGGGCTTGCCCTGGTCGTCGCGGTAGGCACCGACACCTGTTGTTTGTCTGCGTCAATGGGTATGTTCATTATGGTGATGGTAGGTAGAGGCTGTGTATGTGAGCAGCTGGCGGCTGATGACCGGCTAGCGTTGTAGCTAGCAAGCTTGTGACAGCTCTCTAGCTAGGGTGGTGGTTGTGGTTGTCAAAGTGGCTTGGCGGGGGGCTTTGCGTACCGAGGTTGATCTTCTGCTCAAACTTGTCGGCCTTGAAGGCTTCCGTGATGCCTGTTCGTCTATTGTCAGTCATGGAGTTGAGTCAACCGGCGAAGCTCGAGGGAGCTCCACCCGAGCAGGTGCGTCATACCGAGAATGGCCTGTCCATTGCGAAAAAGTGGCCAGTTAGCAAAACAGTTTGTTGTGGTGATTGTCGGGATTCTGTCAATCGGCGCATCAAGCACTTACATCCTGCAGTCTTCGTTAGCATTCGTGGCGCATTCAATTGGCATCTGGAGTGTTTGAGACATACAGGAGGACCTTGAGGGACGTTGGCCCAGGTAGAGCCGGCTCTCGCGGCCGTGACGGGCAGGGCGCCCATGCGGCGGGCGGCAGCTTGCCGGGTTGCGATTCTGGTGGAGGACAGCATCTTGATTGTCTTTCTCTTTCGGGGATGGGAGAAAAAAGATGTGAATGGAGGAAGAAAGGGAAGAAGAGAGAGATGAGGTTGAGAGGGGAAGGAAGAGAAGGAGAAAAGACGTAGCTTTCGCTGTTGGCCGGCAGAAAAAAAAAAGGATCCCAGTGAGGTAAGAACAATCCGTAATAACTTAAGGTGTCCAAAGATTCCGAGACAGCGAAGTGCCGAAAGAGCTGCTGCTGCTGGCTGTTGGCTGCTGCAGACGGGGTGGTCCAACCAAGGAATGGGCTGACTTGTGACTGTACCAGGTGCGCCTTGCCCGCCGTTTCTGCCATCTGGGGGCTTTCATGTGCTGGGGTGCTTGGCGACCAGCCCTGAATCCAATCCAGTCACATCCCAGAACTGCTCCCAGGTGAGTCCGCACTGAGCAGAGAGAGGGGGGTGTGGCCCCCCGGTGCGGTGCGACTCCGGACCTGGAGAAGGAGAGGAGGAGCATCGTAAGTGGACCGAGTCATGAGAGGACCCACCTGCATCGTGCAATCGCGGGGGAGCGGATTTACTGTATTGCCGCTACCCGCCACGGGGGAGGAATCCCGACGCGCCTTCCACGCCCTCGACGCCCACGATGCGTCGATGCCCCTTCCCCGGCCCGCTGTTTTTTGACTGGAGCGCATGCGCGCAAGTTACGCAACGAATGAACCCGTCCCTGGTCCTTCCGGCTTCGGATGTCGCCGCGGTTGACCGTTCTCAGCTCACTTCTTCTTCCGCTCGACTCAAGCTCCTGCTTCGTCATTCCAGGGTCAACTGTCTCGGGCGGTGTGTCTCTCTTTAACCTTTGGTCTTCCCCTTTTGCTGGCTGACGCGCGCTAGTTACTTCTATTCGCTCGCTTCAAAGCAGTTTCTCCTGTCTTGGGGTCTGTTGTTTCTTTTCGTTCATACTTCCATTCTTTCTGCCTCTTTTGAGCCTTTGACACTGCTGGAAACGATCCTGCCTGGCACGTGTCTGATGCAGTGTTCGTCAGGCTTGGGCGGTTAGAATTCCCCTTTTCGGCCTCCTCTCATCACTCTGTCACTCTAGGCGACATCGTATTAATGCTAGCACTTCCTAAAATTGTGAAGAAGCAAGCATCGCCATCAACTGCTAGAGCTGTCAAAGCACTCTTCCATTGACCTCTGCAAGGGATGTTACCTATGACTTTCCGTCTTTTCCCCGGACTAAAGGAACTGTCCAATGCACCTCTGCTGCGGACGAACGGCCCCTGGGATGATGGTTCGTAGCTGCATCAAGGTCCGTGCTTGCATGCTATTGTTCAAATTGGCTTTCTACTTCGCTTGCAGTCAAGATCATTCAAGATCGCCACGAACCTGAGGAGCCTCATTACTCCCTTCATCCGACCTCGTGGCTCCTCCTTTGGTCCCAAGTCTCGAATCTGTCATTTTATGTTACTCAATGCCAGAGCCTTGGCGACATGGGAGAGAAGCTGAGTCATCTACTGGGATTATGAAGCTCAAAAGCCGCTCGCTACATGTAGCGCGAGAGTTGAGGCCTCGTGGACTCGAATTGCACGGAGACCGTAGACCGAAATGATCAATCCAGGCCATCATCATTCTCTAATACACTTTATGAACCACGCAAAATCCTCCTCTAATTATAGCCTGGTTTTATTCAGTAGGATGAGTAATTTCGTGTTTTTCGTGTATGGCAATCGTCTCATTGGACTCGCTTGGCACAGCAAAAGTAGATGGTGGTATTAGTGCATATCCGTGTGGTTCTCCTGAACCATTTCAGGTACGTCTTCTACGTTTTCCAAATATATTTTTCAGAATTGACGTTCGGGATTACCTAGTGACCCTCGTGATGCAAGGCGTGTCATTCTCATGTCTGAATTGCCCGTCGCACGGCGGCTTGAAACCACTAAAAGACATATCCAATAGTTCGCAAAGAAGCCGAGGATGATCCAACGCACATTACTTCCAGAAGATGCCGAACTGCACGTGTACGGCGTCCAATCACGAAGCCTCTGATACAGCGAATGAGATCGTTTCTCTCCAAAGGCGAGCCTAATCATTCCAAGCCCTCCTGAGGAAAGCGCATGCCAGCCTGATCTTGACACCTTCACAAAACACCCAGCAGCGTCAGCAGGGAGCCTGATTTCTTCACCGCAGTTTTCTTCGCGAAAGAAACAGCACTGCTGATCGAGGCTCTTCGTCAACACCTCACCGATCTCCCCGAGAGCTACCGAGAACATCTTCCACTATCGCTCGCAACTCCGACATACCATGGCGGCCGAGAGCGTGGGCCTCGCAGCCTCGGTTGCCGGTCTACTATCTCTAGGCTTGCAGATCACCGGCGGCATCGTGAAGTATATGGACGCGTTTGAGGGCCGTGGCGAGGAACTACGAAACGTCAAGCAACATAATGACAACCTGGGGGTCACACTTCATGCGATGAAAACGGTGTTAGCTGGTCTGCAAGGCCAAAGTCCTGCAGTCGTTGATGCAGTAGATCAGAATATTCGAAGCTGCGAGGACGACCTTCGCGCCGTCGAGGCTTTATGCATTGACCTTTCTGATCGCGATGGCAGTACGTGGACGAAGCGGCTGGAGAACAAGAAAAAGAAGGTGACTTTTGCGTTCCATCGACCCAAACTTCGAGACCTTGAGCTGCAGTTGCAAAAGGCCTGTGGTTCTCTGCAACTGGTACAGGGCAGCTTGGGACTGTAGGTTAATATTGAATTCCTCTCGCTTCCCACGATTTCTGACACGGCAGTAGGGAAACCTCGAACAGGAACGCAGTCTTGCTGGCGGCTATCGAGTCGAGTTCTCGCGACCAAGCTTCTGAAATGCTCTTAATCCGGTCAGAAGTAGCAGCACTTGGTACGCCTGTGGGCGACATCAATGACAAATTGTCAGGTCTACAAAGCATTGCGGACCAGACAAGACAATTCATCGTGGCTCATTCCGGAGCTATCGAAATTGAGGCTCGTGAGAGCAGCCAGCGTCTCAGATATGATCTTCAGCATTCGCATGCCTCAATTGTACAGCACCTTAAGACAATCGATCACAAAGTACAGCTTCTGGGAGAAGAGAACAGTTCTCTACGGGCATTGGCTCTCAAAGCGGCCTCCAAGCCAGCAGCTCTCAAGAGTTTGTGCGATGACATGAAATTGTCGGGGAAGCGTTGCAACAAAGACATTGCTCCACAGCGACCAAAAAACCAACGGAAAACAACTTCATCAGATCCATCAAGGGACTCAGAGACCAGGTTGGAAGTTGGCAAAGTGTGCATCTGCCCACGTCCTGCAAGATCATTCATGCAGATGCAGATGCAGCGAGGCTACACGTACCTGTCCGGCGAGTGGGAATCCCAAGGCCACTGGTCGAGCTGCCCACTCTCAAAAATGCCAAAGAAGCAACGAATCAAGGCAACCTTGAAATACACTGGCGTTTCTCGCCTTCTGAAATCAGTCATCGAAATTTCGTTTGCTTTGACATCTGGAGCTGGGGGCTGCAGCATCAGTCCCAGGTTTACCTACTATCCGACTGCGGACGTCAACTCGGATCCCGCTTTCCGCTTAATCAACTTGATGAGAAGAAGCTATCTTGGACGGAATAAGCGGAGTAAGGAGCGCTTCTTTACCGCTTACTTGAGAAAACTGGCAAAACTTCTCGAAGAAAGACGAACCTACCCGACTATTGTGGACGACACAAACAGGACCTTGATGCACCATGCTGCTATTTTAGTGAGATCTTTTTACCCAGAACTTACAGCTTGTGACTAAACGGTCATCTGACAGGTCAGAGACCTATCCGTCTTATATCACGAAAGACTTAGCGAGATGAAAGCGGCTGCTGAAATCGTCCCGATTCTGCTCTCGTATGGTGTTCCAGCCTTTTCATACGATATTGAGGGCAAGCTTCCTTACTTGATCACGTAAACAGGATGGCCAAATTGCTAATCTGCTGCAGGATTCTCGCCGTTACATAACTTGACGTGTCAAACTGATGAGTGGGCCGAGGACGCCGTTCTGGCCCTATCACGGGCTAACTTTGAAAACCAGCCGGCCATGCCGGAACGGACGTCAAAGATCTGTAAATTCACGCACTTCGCGATTGCGGTACATCGTAGCCTCTTGTCTTTTGGCAAGCTCCCTGAGGTTGCGACAGGTGCGGCAATTCTCAAAAGCTTACTACATTCACCTGACTAAATGAGAACCAGCTTTTGAATGCGGCCCTTTGAGCATGGCGATTGTCAACAATGATTCAGATGAAGTAGATCGTATCTTGAGACGGTTTCCTGATTCCATAGCTGAACTTGATTTATACGGGCGAGGCCCACTTCATCTCGCAGCAGCGAAGCCTGAAATTCTCAAAAGGCTCGTAAAAGCTGCGGATCTGATCACCCTGAACCAGCGAGACAGCACAGGTACTAATGCACTTGAAACAGCCATGGTGCTTAGCTCACTGTATTGCGTCAATGGCACAGAATATGTAAGGTGCAGAGAGTGTTCTTGCTACCTATGCGTAAAATATCTCCTAGACGCCAGTTTCAATCTCATTCGGACGCTTGCTGTACAAGGATGGGAAAACTATCCGCCAGGTCTGGGTCAAATCCTTGAGAATTCATCGGAGCTCGCTCGGCGTCACTATGTCTTTCACATGAGAAAAACCCGAAGTCTGCTGAGACCAGGACACCTTCCGACAAACAAAAGTTTGTCCACAAAGCAAGAAGTCGGCAACAACAGGACAACAAGTGACACGCAAAGAAGCATCTTACATTTCCAAAGACAGCTGCAAATCTACGATGAGGCTGGCGGGACCGTAGACTCTTTATCAAACTGGATATTCCAGCAAACTAGGTCCGTTCATCTGGCCCAGTTGTTCTATCGTCACGGATTCAGGCCCAGCCCATCAATATTTCTCCAGCTTCGCGACTCAAATCCATTCGGGCTCCGAAGTTTCCTTAGCCCGGAGATTGTTTGTTGGCTTCAGGACCACGGAGGAGATATATTCTTGCGATCCCCCGCAGGCCCTACGAACAAGACCGCCGACAATAGACTGTTCGCTGCGCACTACGTCTTTTACCTATTAGGCAAGAGTCCCTGGGCTCGGGTACGAAGCTGTCAAGGGACAGCCCAAGGACAGGCCGCCTTCGAAACGTTAAAAACCACTGTGGCTTACCGTATTCTTACGGACGGCTGTCGTTGTTCTTGCTCGACGAAAGGATGCAGTCCGTTGACTTGGATGATGAAGGGCTTCATTACAACCAAATCCGCAATACCAGAGCAATACGCTGAAATAATAGCAGATTACTACAGCTCATGCGGCTCGGAGTTCACGCTCTCAACTTATGTAGAGGCAATCAGGTTCATGACATTCGAAGCACTGGGCATGGCCCATAGCTGTTGTAATCCAAGTTCTCTGGTCGAGGAAGGTGCGGCTTGGATTGATATGGATGATCTGGAGGTCATCGAGGAGCACGACTTCTTACTCAAGTTACACGAGCTTTTGGTCGTTGAATTTACGCAAAAAGCTAGCGAGTATCTGGGAAATGGGCCAAACGATATCCCATTGTTCCCTCAGTTTTGGAAATCATACTGGGCCGATCGAATGACCGATGAGTTAGAAAAGCTGGGCGGGGAAGACTTGACTGCTGAAGAAAGACGAGATGCAGAGGAAATCGGCGTGATATGGGACAAGTCAACAGGGAGCGGCGAGCGTAAATCTAGAAACCCATACCACAGGCGGGATATGGAGCACTACTTCTTTGAGTTGGACCTCATCTGCCCTGAGTACAATGAGCCATGGCCAGAGGGAATGCGTCGCATTCATTAATGGTCTGAGGATCAGGAAGTGGCAAAGACGATGCGCAAGGAACAGGATGAGTCAATCCTTTGAACGAAGACATCGGAAGTGTCAAATGCTTCAATTACGCGAGATCCCAACTCAAACATTGTTCCAGAGTCTGGTTCCGTCACAATATTGATGCATGAGCAGAAGCAGAGCGACTACAGTTCCATTAGCGCTTATGTGTGCCTTTTCTCTTTCCTTGAATACCACTTTCAGTTTCTGAAATAAGATTATCTCAAGCTTTAGGAGGCAGCACCGTCGGCACAGGAGGCCGTGTCGTTGTTCTGGGCAGCTCAGGCACAACAGGGGTGGGAATACAAGCGCAAGCACTGCTAACCCTCTCAACAGGGCTCTTGTCCTTGTTCTCGACACAAGCGCTGGTGGCATACTCTGGCAGCAGTTCCTTGTCCGTGTTCAGTCGCTGCGTGAAGTTGCCGCAGAACTCGACGGACTCCTCCAAGCGATCCGGAATGGACGAAGCCCGCAGAGCACGGAGGCAGTTATCGGCGTTGCACACAGGCGCCTTGGGGCACTCCTTGGAGGTCATCTTGACGACGAAGCTACCGCGCTCGATAGTGTGGACAAAGATGAAGCCGGACTTGAAGTTAGCGTAGGATGACCATGAGCCGGCGAACTGGACCTTGCCACCGCCGACTTCCTCGTCGTCTTCGGGGTAGATATCGAAGAAGCCTGCTTCGCAAATACTGGCGCCTGTGGGGTCCTTGGTGACGCTGCTGACGTCGATGACGTTCAGGCCGTTGCCGTAATTGGACTGGTAGAGGTAGCCGCCAACAATATACTGGTTGTGGTCGATGGAGCGGGTCTTGCCGGCGTAGTGGCCGGTGTATACGGGCTTCTCGAGGTCGCGGATGTCAAAGATGTGAGTGGTGGGAAGGCCCTGAGTCATCGGGCCGACCTTGGCGTCACGCTCGTCGAACTCGTCATCGAGGAAGATGTACTCTTGCCAAGTCTCGTTGTTAACGACACCCTGGTGGACGTACTGAGCACCGGGGTAGTCGCTGATGGAGATGATGTTGGTGACGTTGCCGGTCTTGTCGGTGACATCGTAGATGGTCAAGGTGTCTTCGTTGTAACCGTAGCAGATATCTCGGCCATAGTAGCGGGTATCGGGGCCACGGTAGACGAGGCACTCGGCGTCGTGGACGTAGCCGTCGCCGGCTGCGCATCCGGGGCTGGTGACGTTGGTGGGATCGCTGATGTCTAGGAAGATCAACCCGCCGCGGCAGGGGAGGTTGTCTCTTACACGAATCGTCGCGTTACCACCGACGGAACCGCAGGCAATAGCGTAGTTGAGCTCTTGGTTGACGACGATGTTGTGGGTACGGCCGACGGGGAGTTCGTCCCAGTGGCCGGTGAGCTCGGCCTGGGTGAAGTTCTTTGGGTTCGCGGGGTCGAGGTCGAGGATCTTCTTCATGTCGAAGAACTGGACGCCGTGCTTGATGGCTTCGGAGCCAATGACGGCGATGTCACCGACGATTCGGATTTCTCTCCAGTTGGATCCAATGGAATCGTATTGAGGCAGACGGCCCAAGTATACCAGCTTGCCTTCCTTGCTGATTTCGGCAAAAGCAGTACCGTCGTATTGGCCAATGGCGACGAATTCTCTTCCGTCTGCCGAAGTCCAACCCCAGGAAGATGAACCTCTTCCGCCCCAGCTGCCGAGCTGCTCGTGGGACAAGAAGTGGTACAGATCGATCTGAAGGGTATTAGTTCAGCCTCCGAGAGAAGCTTGGTAAACTCACATTTCTGCATCTGAAGGTGTTATTGAAGTCTCCGGGGACTGCGGCAGCGAAGCCGTCAACGCAAGGAGTGTAGCCAAGCTCGGGGTACTTGGCACTGTCCATGAGGCCGGCGGCAGCTTCCTCTTCCCATTGAGCCTATCATGTTATTAGAAACTTTTGATCAATGCGAGAGGTGATTGTGGGGCACAACTCACCATCTTTATGCCCATGATGCGATGGTGAACGGCACCGGACGCGTACTCAGCCTTGGTACCAGCGCCAGCTGCGCTGGCCAAACCAACAATGGCAGAGCCCAAAAGGGCTGCAGAGTTGATGCGAACCATGTTGACAGTCTTTTTGTAAAGTGACTCAGCCTAAGAGTACCACTACTTGACACAGACTTGACGATGAGACTGGGAGTGCTCCGAGCTTCCCCAAGGCAGAGTAGCCACTCGATCTATAAGTACTCGACATCCTCAATTGAGTTCGTCATCATCCAAGACCAACTAATAAGACGGCCTTTCTTGTCCCCCGCATGGCAGACGTTGGTGTGGAGAATGCCATGGCAGTCGTGATTTTAGGGGAGGCTGGCGAAATCCAGGCACGCGGCCTTACATCTCGCCCATCGAACCCGAGCGGAGGGAAGCACCAAAGGTTGACCGATACTACCGTAAAAGCTTGGCCAATATGAGAGTACATGATAAGCAGAGCTTGGTTCCATACGATAGGGACCAAGCTGACCTTGGCGGTCTTGGCGACCCCCCAGCCGCCTAAGCTTCGTAGGCGTGCGCAGCAACTGTCAATTTGGTCCAAGAAGCTCGCCGAGCACCTAGTTCCTCGAGCTGTCTGCTTCTGGAAGGTGATTAAAGGCTTGGCTACTTACGGTGATAGGCAGGTGCTGGATATTGGAACTCTGACATGACCGAGTAATTGGGTCAGTTGATTAAGTTTGAAAGGCGGGGAACTCTTGAGGCTGTTGATGAGCGATTTTTTGGGTGGCAAGTGTGTGGACGCCGCGATTATGCTTCTTGTCTCACTGCATAGGAACTTTGGGATTCTGAAATCCTTCACGGATTGGTAATAGTCTTGCACAAGAAGCTTCTCTTGATAGGCCCCTCTCGCCTCCTTTAGGTAATATCTGTTTGCCTTATAGCCATGCCCGTAGTTCGCCACTGCATCGTCAAGAACTTTTGAAACTCTAACACATGAAAATAGGGTTGAACTATCAGAGTAGTCAACTATTTCGCTGTTTCTAGGTGGGGAATTGATGGTTACTGCTTGCCGAGCATCTTACAGGCTGTAACGAAGACTCGTCGCTTACTAGTAAGGGTAAGTAAGAGAGGAACCATAGTAGCCTTCTAAGTAATGTTGACATTATATTAGATCAGGGTCCCATGTACCCAACGCCTCAGCTTAACTTATGTTAAGGCGCAGTGGGTTTTGTTCTGGAATTCAGTGGCTACCAGATTTTGTGTCGTGCGACGTATTTCGAATTTACCAGGCTCTCCAATCAAGCGATTCTATTGCCGTTCTTTACTTATAGAAATAACTTCTTCAAGACTCAAGAAGGCCCTTTCGCAAGATCGTCTTTGCTTTCTCTGGGGTTCTCACCGCAATCTTCTGTCGTTTCTGAGTGAAATTTATCGCACCATATCGCAACAAGCCTCCAAATGTGCCTGGTTGGCAATCTGCGCCTGGTCTATCATCCCATACACTTCCAGGTTGTAGAGAGTTCACGAGGCCTGACCCTCGGGATATCTTTTGCATGCTTGTCTCAGAAAGCAGTGTCCACACTAACTTGGAGGCCTCTTTGTGACACTCTGACTCTGGGTCAGTGTCAAGACCGAGCGCTAACAACTCATAGAGATGCTCCCCGAAGTTCTCCCCACCGATGAGAGTCTTCGCAGCCCAGTGCTCCTGTAGCACGTCGATGACGAGGACGTGTGACATCCAGTACTCAGATGCGTTGAAAGAATCGTCATCGCCCCCCTCGACCATGCACACTCGTGCCCAGCATGCATTCTGGGCGACGTAATCCAGGAGCTCCTCAAAAGAGACCTTGAAGTCCCACTTGAAGCCCTTGCTCTTGGATTCAGAGAGGGAAAAGGATTCTTTCACGTGGCTTAACAGCGGATGAGTGTTTATACCCTCACTAGTCTCACGGTCTTCCCAAAGATGAACAAAAAGGTCGTGCCTGGGGTAGTCAGCATAGTACAAGATATGATCAAGAGACTTGCTTCCTCTGCTTAATACATCCTCATGGAGTAGAAGTGTATTTACCATCTTTTGATAAACGGGTTGCCCTTTCTCGACGCGAGAAAGTGATTCGCCAAATACTGCGCAAATTGAATTGGCGCAGCGATCTCGTATGGTAACTCAGGATCCTCTAAGGCAGACCACAAACCACGATCCAAGTCACGGAAAAGAATGCATCCAAAATCCATTTTCACACCGCCGTAGGTGTATAACAATGCCCCAGTGATCATATCAGATGAATGCTGCCCAACATGCTTTCCAGTCATGGTACCCTCGATAAAGCATCTGGGAAGCATCTCCTTTGGTGCGAACTCCAAAGCATGATTTGGCGACCCTGGCACGTTGTCAAGAACGCGAACAGTCCAGTCTGGACCGCAGATGCGAACCCAATCAATCACGTTGCGCCTACACCACGATGGAAGTTGATCAATTCCGCCATCCCAGTAGGCCCATACGTTCTTCTCGCCTACAACAGGTACGTGGCAGCGTAGAGATTCAAAGATCTCGTCGTCCGATCGCTGGTCGTGAGCATTGATCACCTGCAATTTGTCTTTGAAGGCTGGAGGTATCGCATATTGCAACATGATGTCGGTAATGTGCGACTATGCGAATGATGGGCAGGTCGGTAGTTGAGTTAAATGCCGTCCCTGAGGTAAAGCGATGCTGGGTGCTTTTGTATACCTACCGATTTAAGAGGAGGCCGGATCTACCCGTGCGAATAAGCGCTACTTTAGCGCTGATGTTTACTTTGAGCCGGTGCTTTCGATCGTCTGGCGTCTCTCAACTGAGGCGCTGGGCGGGAGGATGTCACTCTGAGCTCCGAGACATCTAGGATCAAATGATGTCAGATAAGGTAAGGTACCAAGCAAGGAAATATAATCAAGAGAAGCAAGACCGGCAGTCCGTTCTTTACGATGTGTCTTCACTGCTTACATACATGTGCTTTGTCGCCCGCATTGGTCTATATAGAAGCTTAAGTCATCCTGA